GTTAACCTCCTCAGTCGTTAGTACTGTCCTCCAGCTTAGAGGCCAGCAGTGGCAGTTCTGTTGCTTGGGGCACTGTCTGGAAGGAGGAGTGCTACACAAGAATTAAGCAGTGAGCAACCCTGAGTGCCATTATAACGATGAAAGCCCTACAGCTGCTCCGACTTTACGCGGAGATCCAGTCACAGAACACTCCCACGTTACACAGAAGCACATCGTATGTGGTTGTGCAGCAATCTGTCAGTTTTTGGAATCTCCGTGACATCTCTGTGATGGCAATGGTATTTTAGCATCCCAAAACTACTCTCTAGATGTGCTTTCTAGAGAAAAGCAGGATCGCTGGGCTTTGTAAACCTCAGTGCTCGATTTCTTCTCTCTGGTGCTCCAGCTGGCAGAGCACCCACACACAGATTTGGAGGAAAATTGATCATTTGATATATTAGGTGCTCTTTTCCCTTCTTAACAAAATAGTAACCGTAAAGGTCTTTATCCTTGATGCACTTAATGAGTCAGAACTCTTCTCCTACCCAACAGAGGACACCCCAAGTCATTGGAGTCATGCAGTCTCAAAATAACAACACTGGGAACAGAGGACCTCGGCCGTTGGAGCAGGTCACCTGCTACAAGGTAATTCAGAGGGGAAGGACGAGAAGGGGAAACAGATTTAGGAATCTAGATTCAGGAAGTACAGGGTGCACGTCACCTGGACTACGTCGTGCTGATTTGCTGCTAGTTGCTTGCCATGGGCAGAGGAACAGACCGTTGTGATGTGGGGCATTGGTCCTGCAAAAGGCTTTTTCACAGTGTAAACAGGTTCATCAAACGTGTGCTCTGCTTAACAGACGTTGCGCTTTGGATCGTGGATACAGCTGTCGGAATCAGCATGGAGTTCTGAGGCCTCTAGGCTGCTGGTTTGCCAGCGTGTGGACTTGCTATGACAATTAAGGCAGCTGTAGGACAGACTTTGCTTGTCTGCTACTAATTAGGAAACCCTACCACAATGACAGTTAAAGGAGTCTGCTCAACTGTACGTTTCAAAATCAGTCTTAATATTAGTTTTGTCTCATGAGTTAATTTGCTTATGTTTGTAGAAAGATTTTCTTCTCCCCTGTTAGCATGGAAGGTCCTTATGAGTGACAGAGATTGAATATGCAAAGACTGTTCAGTATTTCAGCTGTAAATGCACCTCATTGCTGTCAAACCAAGCAAGGAGCCGTTCACCTTGGTTTCTCACTGAGGAGCACCAGTAAAACTTTGACACAATTGAGTTCCCATCTCTATTTTTCCACAAAAGTCCCGACTCTAGCCACTAGAAAAGGGCAGAGAACCTTCCCGTCCCATCAGCTTTGACAGGTACGTCATTGTATGTGCCAACTTCTGTGCCTTAGGCGCTTGTTTGGGTAAAAATTATTGCGATGGGACAGGGATATTAAGTAGCTGAATCCATTTCGCTGAAAACATTGAAGAGCTGCTTATTGTTTTAGCTGCAAGTAAATTACAAACCGGGAGAACGCTGTAGCATCAGATACTGACGAATAGCTTCATGGTGCAAAGTCACGAATCTCTTGTTCAGATGCACTTTTCTTTGTCTGATTTGGGACAGTCGCTCAGGAGAGTCCCTGTGTATCTCTGATGTTGTGCACGTCAGATGGAGCAGTCTTGGAAGCCTCAAACGTTGAAATTCTCCATGTGTGTTACAGCCCTTTGCTGTTCGCGGTGGTGCGCTGAGAGCTCTCTCCTTCCTGTGTGTTAGAACAACATGGTGTCAGGTTGCTCCCAGCACAGAAGCAGCTTTTGCTTCAAGGAGTGGCAATAGCCCATAAATCATGTCCCTTGTGACACCACGTTTCACATCACCTGCTAAATGCTGCATCCCCAACACAAGAAGGACATGGAGCTGCTGGAGCGAGTCCAGAGGAGGCCACGAAGATGATCTGAGGGCTGGAGCACCTCTGCTGTGGAGACAGGCTGAGAGAGTTGGGGCTGTTGAGCCTGGAGAAGAGAAGGCTCTGGGGTGATCTTATTGCAGCCTGCCAGTGCCTGAAAGGGGCCTACAGGAAAGCTGGAGAGGGGCTTTTTACAAGGGCATGTAGTGATAGGACACGGGGCAATGGCTTTACACTGAAGGAGGGGAGATTTAGATTGGATCTAAGGAAGAAATTTTTCACTCTGAGGGTGGTGAGGCACTGGAACAGGTTGCCCAGAGAAGCTGCGGCTGCCCCATCCCTGGAAGTGTTCAAGGCCAGCTTGGATGAGGCTTTGGGCAACCTGGTGTAGTGGAGGGTGTCCCTGCCCACGGCAGGGGGGTTGGAACTGCATGATCTTTGAGGTCCCTTCCAACCCAAACCAGTCTGTGATTCTATGATCTTCCCTATATGGAAAAACTTCCAAATCAGACCAGTTGCCGGTCACCTTACTAAAGGCAGCTGGAGGAAAGAAGCTCTAACTGTGTACTGATTCCTCTTTCTTCTCTTCCAGTGTGGTGAAAAAGGTCATTATGCCAACCGGTGCACCAAAGGACATCTGGCCTTTCTCAGTGGACAGTGAAAGAGCAGAAGGAAGAGTGCAGGGGAGCCGTTAACACTGGGAAAAGGTTTCTGCCTAGTGCTATGTCTCGAACTATTAATCAGGTTGTTTTTTAATGCCATTACCGAAAGAACTGGTCAGAGGCTGGCTGCTGCTAAGCAACATTTTTGTAATTGTCCACAACTTTTTTTTATGTTTTAACCTTTTTAAAATAGATTTCGGCCTCCGCCTGGTTTCATTGAGCCCTGCTGAAAGGTAGCTCTAAAAGCAAATAGATGTGCAAACCCCTCACCAGTGCAGCACTCTACATAAACGCATCTTACTCCAGTGTTTCTTTAAAGTGTTTTCCTTCTGCCACTTCTCTCTGGAGAACCTGCAGCGTTTCAGCCCTCCCTGTGGAAGCAGGAAGACTGGGAAAACTAATACTCAAAATGCCTTCCCTTCAGTGAGGAAGCAGGGATTCTGCTGCCCTGTAGCTCTTAAAAAGCAAAGTTGTGTTCCCAGGTCCAGCCTGTTGCGGCCGGTAAGCCTGTCCTGGTGGCTGACTTAATGCATCACCTACTCCAGGCTGTAAAACTCTCGTCCACTTGCTTTGTTTCTGTGCTTCTTGCTATACTGAAGGTCAGAAATTAATCTTCTGGGTGAGAACTGATCAAGGGGAGAATTAATTGGCACCTCTGATGGTTAGCTGAACGACGAGGAACCATGATTGTAGGAAAGGTGCGTCTGTGCTTATTGTCTGTTTGCAAAAAGCACGGAGGGAAATGGACACGGCTTGAAGTGTAGGAATAGAGGAGTCAGCCTTGTCTCAGAGCCCCCTGCCATCCAGCTCACACTGAGCAGGTATTTCCAGAGCCTAGGGAAGACCAGGAAGTGGAGATGTATGTTCTTACGGAACACTGCTTTTAAAAGTTGTAGAGTGTTCTTCTGAGAGCAGTTTTTGCAAGCCAAAACCCATTCGTTTTGTGAGACGACTATTTCAAAAGGGCCAATGATAAAATGTGAATTAAAAAAAAAAAAATTGCACCTACAATATGAGCCTTATTGATTCTAACCCATCTCTCATTTGCTGACTGCCTTTATACTTTTGTTTTTATTGAAACGTACTGATGGAAAAAGCTGGCTGTAATTTTTTTTTTAAGAACAATATGACTAGATTAAGAGAAGCGACCGGAGCCTGTGGTGGTTTGAATGATGGCAGTTGTTTCACTGGAGGGCTGGAGTCAGTCAAAATGGAAGTTTCAGGTCGAAGTGACAGTGGTATGACAGGCCATCAGGCACTTCTCATAACACGTGCCCTCAGAAGCTGCACGGTGGCCAACCCACGAGATGTGCTGTCTCCGTGTAACTTAAGCACGTGGAAAGGGAACTAAACCACTTTGGTGTCTGGCTGCCTTCCCCATCTAGTTCAGGAGATGATGGTCTTCGCTACCTGAAACAAAGTTTTCCAAAGCTGAAAGCCCTCCTGTTACCACTGAAGCTCTTGAGAGATTCTTTATATCCCTTAACAAGTGGTTTTCCTTCTCCGTGCTCTTCAGGAAAGGACACTGCAGGTGCTACCTGCAATGCCCAGCTGCAGTTACTGGTGCCAGCAGGTACCATCACGACGGTAGGCTGCACTCACTGAGCAGCACGAGGAAGGTCATCAGCTGGGGCCAACCTTTATGCTGGTGATCCTTTATACTGCATTTATGCAGTGCCTCCTGTTAAACTTCCCACTGCTGCACTTAAGAAGCAAAGTTTTCCTTCAGTTTCACTTCATGGACCTTTGTTATATTAAAGGTCTTTGTTACATTAAGGTCTTATAAGCTTCTCTCTGTGCAGAGTAACCCTCCAGCTTCTTTTGGCAATGAAAGCAGGGAGAGTTTTGATAGAAATCAGTTATCAGAGGTAAGAAGCATTAGAATCCCAGAGACAGAAAGAGTTGCAGACCTCCTTAAAGCTAAACCCATCTCATCTGAGGCAGTGCTCTGCAATGATGGGAAACTACCCAAATACCTACAGTCCCTGGGTGACAGCCTGACTGAGAATCAGAAACACCTGGCTACAGGAAGCCACCTGAAGCTCAGGTATTCCTTCAAATCAAAGCCATATAGTTTTCCAACCTGTATATAATGGCCACGTAAGCCATTAAGAAGCAATCCAATGCTTTTTACTTTTATCAAACAGTTAAATAGGAATCGACTGTAACAGTTTCCTCGGTTCATAATGCAACCCGAGTAGCGGACACTTTCCCAGCCACCTCTGAACTTATCCTGGAGAGGTGGAACTCTAAGAAGACAAACTCACCCACACAGTCCAGTTAACAAGCCAGTTACGAGAGCGTCACCTCAGTAAGTGTAAAGCATGTGCACTTTATTATTGGTCATAATAGCACAGATTTTACTATGAATAGTTCTGGTGTCTTCTGTCAGGGCAGCTGTTCCAGTAGCCACATCTGTTCAAGAGCTGCACCTTCACTTTCTGAAACTCATGCTTCAGTGGTACTTCCTGTGGCGTTCATGCTCTGTACCATTCAAAGTAAAGCCAGTTAATTTCAGTGAAGTCACAAGAAAAAAACCCACCACATCTGAAACTACAGGAAAGCAAGCACTCTAAAAAAATCTGAGCGTGTAGTTTCTAAGTACTGTCAGGTCAGGCAGGTAACAAGATCTAAACTTTCATCATCACCACAAAAATATTTGCCATCTGACAACTTACTAAAAGCATTCAAGTTCTCTATGGCTAGAAGTTTGCTTGCCCCCAGTCTCAGATCAAGCAGCAGCTGTTACCACAGTCTTTTATTTCTAGGAGCAGCAGCAGATTAATTGTTTTCATTGCCCTGAGCTGCACTGTACACGTTCAGCCACACTGCTTTCACTTACTCAGGTGACTGTAGCTCCAGATGTAGCTGACAACAACATAACCAGCCAGCACCATGGAGATACCACCGAGGCCCCCTTTCTTGACATCGATGTATTTATTGTAGTATCTGTTGTAACCTGTGTAGGAGAAAAGTTGTTTTCCTAGCAGCCAGGTGAGCTGCGTGTTTTTCTGTGTCAGAAAGAAGCAGCTCAGTTTCACAGAACTTCAGGAAATTTCTCATGAAACATCTGAGGGTCTCAGAAGCAAGTCTGAGAGAAGGCAACCTGTGTGTTAGTTAAGCAAGGTGAGCTCAAGTTAATGGTGCTGAGCCTTTAAAAAAAAAAAAAAGGAAAAAAAAGCCATTTATCATTTTTCCCTAAACATTATTTTGACTTTCCTAAGCTCAAGCTGCTTTGAAATTGTCTTTCACACTCGTGCATATACATTAAGTAGTCACTTGCATTTCATATTTTGTGTTTAAATCGACCTGACTGCCGCATCTGTGTCTATAGCAAAGGGCATCAGTGAAAACTTTTGCCACGCGATCTATGAAGACCCTCTCTTCTTTCTTACCATCTTTAGGGATTAATTGCCTTTTTTTTTAAAATTTATGTGTGATGTTGGGAAACCTCCACATTTTCAGCCCATAAGTTCAGGAGTCAGGTGTAAGGTCACCATATTTCCTCTTTGATACGAGAAGGAATATTGAAAAAAAAAAAA